GTACAGCAGTCCTCCTCCTCTTTGGTCCATGAATAGGAACAATATTTGCAATAAGGTTCTAACCTTAGTTCTTAAACCAAGATAAATTTCAATACTCATGTTTTTCTGCATACTAGTGAAATAAATCTGTGTTGATCAAGTCCATATGATTGCATATGCAAATCACAGTATTAGCTTCATCCAGTTTTAATAATATGGGGATCTTTTCCAAGAAGTAAACATATCAGCTTATTTTTTCAACATAATAATATTATTACATCAAAGAAACTGAACTATGGACCACAGAAGGTAAAAACTGCTTCAACTCAAGGTCAACCCTTGGTGATTCCATACAAATATCCATATACATTTCTTGGCAACACTATGGAAACAGTGCTGCAAAATCCTGGAAAAATATATATATTTGGTTTAAGGTATTTCCAACCCATTTTATGTGTGTGCCAACCCTGTCTCCAAACTACATTTTGCCCAGCCCTACTACACAATATTATGCATACAGTATGTGGTCATTAGACAGTAAAACATTCTTTTCCAACATATGCTTATTATTTTTTGTTTTTACAGCACATACCATTTGTCAGAGCTTGTGTGTGTTTTAAATGGCAGGGAAAAAATATTTACCTGCACAGTGGGTTGTACTGTGGACATTGGCTGATCCAGGGTTGTGAATGCAGACATGGCTGACATCAAAACCTCATCACTCACTAAGATATTCCCTTGGACTAGTGTCTGGATCAAAGGAGAGGGTGGGACAGTAATATATGTAGAGATCTGTTGGGCAAAATGGGTAAAACAAAATCTTACACTGGATATCAGGCAGAAATTTTTCAGAAAATTCTTGAGGACCTCATAGAAACAAACTAAAACAAGCTATTATTCAGTGCAACTGCTCCCTGTTGGAAATGATGTAGTAAAAATCAAAATTCTGTAAACAAACTAATTCAGTATTAATTATGTAGCATGACATGATGGATAAAACATTGTTCAGCTGACAAATAGTCATTAAACAGGAGGAAATCCTGTGTTTTATTTCAGATACACTACAGTAGCCTTCCCAAACTTAACCTAACTAACCCCACCCATTCTAAAAGCTACACCACCATGAAATCAGCTGTCTCCACTGCCAATCCTCATCTTGATTCTACTGCCTCTGTTTCACGTCACTGCAGTCACCTAACTTCCCTGCAAGGTAATGGATGACAACCGCTAACAGGTTTTACACATACTGAAGCTGACCTTGGAATATAAGAGAAAACACTAGTATGTTTAGTATGGAGCTATACTTAGGTGCAACTGGCGACCCAGCCACAGAGAGCTCCAAGCATTCAGCATCTCTACCTGACGATTGGTGGTCTGAGCCTGTTGCACTGAGGTAATGGATGGGGTATATACACTGTTAGTAGCCAGGGAGACTGTAGCCAGTGAGGGGGCACTGCCTTGACACTGTTCCCGCTTATGAGTCATGAATGCTGGCAACGAGTTGAACTGCTTCTTACATTTCCCGCAGAGAAACACATCTTCATCATCTGAAATCAGGGAAAGAAAAATTATTTATTTAACCTGAAAGACTTCTTCTCAAGGAGATGCAGTTTCAGCAGAACAAAGCGGTAAGAAATTATTAACTGAAGAACTGTCAAGCTGTAGTTAGGAGAATGCTTAGCTTTCTCACAGCAAGTCCCATTTGAAACAAAATTTATGCTTCACAGGATAACTGCATTTCTCTGCCTATACTAACAAAAGAAACATAAACAGAGAAGGCCTTTTATGACTTGCGTTTAGCCATAGCCCAAACATGCCTCTGCAACCTTTACTCCTTCCATATTCCATGAAATTGCCTTCATCTCATTCCCACCCCACATGTGAGGTAGCCGTAAGTCATTCTTAGCTATTCTCCTATTAAAATAGAGCTTTCCCATTTAAGCAGGCAACAAATCACAGCAATTTTACCATGGGTACAATCTGATGTGCCTTACTGATCATTCAGTGACCAATCTGGAGAGAGAATGAGGGGACACATTGGCTATTTTAAGTTGATGCAGTCACAACACCTCCACTCCAGTCTCCAGGTACTACCCTTCAAATCCATTCTAGTTTGGGCAGAGAGAGAATTTGGATCTCTCATAATGGCCTCACCTTGTACACACCAGGTCTTGGAGCTGTTCCCTGGTTCAGAGACTTGGGTTTCAAAAAGAGATCAGTCCAAATATCAGGTGTCAAGCACTGGAAGAGGGGCTATACATGCAGCAGGAGGGAGACTCCCACTGCACCACAAAACTCTTCCTCCTAGCTGTCACCTAGACTTTTTAAAAACATGGTTTATCACCCAAAGAATGCTAAATCAATATTTAAAACAACCTGACATGTGGGCAGACAGCTTGCATAAGGAAGTGGGAAGAGGATCTCCTGCAACCCCCCACCGCCGCCCCATCTGTTGCTCATTAGCCAGGACAAATGGACCTCTCAGCAGCTTTGGTATAGACCATGGTATCCTCCTAGAGAGGCTGTCTAGTTAGATGCTGATATAACAGCTGACGGTTTCACCCATACATGGATGGCCATCTTCAGACAGTGGTACTAGGAGATTTTTGCTCAGCCCCAAAGCATTTCGTTCTATGTTATCCACCATGATGTTTAACTTCTATGTGAAACTGCTGACTGAAATCATCCAGAGATTTAAAATCAAATATCATTGATCATTTGAGGACAGTTCCCTCTCCTTTTTATCAAATCCAGGTGATGTAGTGGAAATACTAACTGTCATAATGGGTTAGATGAGGGCCAAGAAACTGAAGCTTACTCTTAGTGGATGGTCTTTCAGTCCAGGATACTGATATCTGGTCTGTTTTGGAAGGGCCACACTCTCCTTAAAGCACAGATATGTGAATATGTTCTGCTTGAGAGCTGTACTTCAAAAGTGGAGGGACCACTTTTTATTTTTTTTTAAGAAGGTTTAATGTAGCTTTATTATTTTTTTACTTTAAAAATAATTATTGGGAGGGGATTATAAAAGTAAACTCCCAAAGAAAGAGGAGGCGGAAGCAGCAGCCTTTTAGCTGGTGCAGGAAGAAAAGGGAGGGATGGAGGAACACAGCACGAAGAGGTTGGAGACAGCAGATGGGTGGTAAGAATCAACCTGTTTCAGAAAAGGCTACGTTCCCCTAAATGATCAAATCTGTAGACTGGAGATGTTTCTAGATCCATCTCTATAACCATAGGCTCAGGTGCACAAAATGCCTTCCATTGGCCAAAGCTGGGACAATAGCTTTGATCCTGCTAAAATACAGTCTCATATCAACAGTCCACGCTCTGTAATCTCTCATTTCGATTGCCATAACCCATTATACATTGGGTTGCCACTGAAAACCATCCAGAAACTTTAGTTATCACAAAATTCAGCAGCAAGAGTATTGACTGGAACTGGATGTTATAACCAAATTATGCCAGTTTTATGCCATCTTCACTTGGTCTCAGTTTATTTCTGATTCCAGTTCAAGAGGTAAATAAATATTAACCTCTAAGATCCTGCAAGGTATAAGACTACAGTATCTGAACAGAACTCCAACTGGTATGATTCTATATAGGATCCCTGAGTGTGGCATGTAGATTTTCAGGCGTGGGCCTTTCAGTAGTAACCCTCCAATTCTGGAATGCTCTGGAGCCTATTTTACTGTCTTCTTGACACTAGGCAATGACCTTTTTATTGTTGCATATAGTATTTATTATACTCACGTTAGCATTTGTATTACTATAAACCGCTCAGAGCCTTTTTGGAATCGAGTAACATATAAATAGCAGGAATAAATAAATAAATTTGAATTGGATGTGCTACATAGAAGTTTTTTAGTAATGTATTTGTCATTATGGTTGATTTATATACTGTCTTTGTTTTAGTATGCATTTGTTTTTAAAATATCATCTTAATGTATTGCAAACTGCCCTGGGAAAACTTTGTTCTGAGGCAGCATATGTGCCTGTTAAAAAATAAAGGTATAGGGAGAACGCAACCAAGTAAAGAGTGTTATCTTATGCTAAATGAATTTATGTTAAGGGCAGCAAATCACAATTACATCGCAAATTCATTGGCCTAATACCATTTTTTGAATAGCTAGTGAATATAAAGTGGTGTTTGAATACTGTTTCCAGGATCATATAACTGTTTGAATGCATGGGTTACAAGAACAAAGAATACACACACACACACACACACACACATTCACAAAGGTATCAAGTATTATGTGACTGCACAACACAAGGACAAACAACAAAGCAAAAGTCCCAATGAAAGACTCACCCATGGACTGAATGGAGGAAGATGTGTTGACTGTCTGTGATGATGGATCTGTAACACCTCCTTGGCCATCTAACAAGGACTGAACAGCTAGCACTGTCTGATTATCCATTCCTAAAGGGGATAGAAATGGCAGAAAATCTGTATTCCTTCCAGGGACAAAAATGTGAACAAGACTGACTGTAATACATCTATTTCAGCATATTAACTTCCATGTTATTTCCCGTTTTCTTACACTGAAGGGCTCTTTACTTACTCAAATACTTATTCAAACCAGAATAGAGTTCAAACTATTGGTTATGTTTACAACTGTCTGGTCACACACACATACACACACACAAGTACTTCTCTACCTTTTTTCTCCCTCAAAACTGCCTGTTCTTTACATTCCATTAGGCAGGCTCTTCTTTCTCTTCCTCATTCCAGGGTGGCAATCTCCAGACTCTGGGCTTTCAGGAACCTGGCCTTGCAACTCTGGAATCAGCTCTCTCTCTTTTTCTTTACCTCTGTGAAAGTTTGATGACCTTTAAAAGGGTTTTAAAGACTTTTTGACTAGTGGGTTAGTTCAAGGCCCAATTATTTTACCCTACTCTCATTTTATCTTGTATTTGTTTAACATTAATTATGGATATATGTGTGCTCTTTAGTATTGCAGGACTTTTCTTTAAATATATATGGTGGTTGTGTCTGATTTGCTGTAGTTGCAAACATCTTTACTGGTTGGTTGTTAACCTATGAATTAATTTTATCAGATGTAATTTTATAATTGTTTTGTCCTTCTTTTGATCTGTACCATATCATGTTAAAAGTGCTTAATAAATGAATGTTATTATCATACCCACTCATGTAACATTCTCATTTCAGTTTCCAAATATCAACCCTCTATTGTATCAATGGTTTTAACATTCCAACCAGAGTAAAACATTCTCATGAAGATTCCATCAATAGACATGGGAAGATTACTGTTACAGAAGCAGGTTAAATATGTTGGGTTTTTTAAAAGGACTAGAAGGTAGGGCAGTCTATAATGTGATTAATTTTAAGAACCAAAAGAAAATATCAAAATCCCATTATCTTCCCCTTTATGTGGATTTAGCCACTATTCAAAGATAAGATTTAAGCATCTTTATTTCCTGCTCCTATATACAATTAATTGCAAAACAGTAGGTTCCTGATAACAGTGTTCAGGAAGGCAATCTTCACTTTCTCCAAATAATTAACTTTAGGTTTCCTGTTATAAATATTGTCAAAACATTTTTGCAAATGTTTTGACTCTTTAACTTGCTTGCCAATTACTTTTGCAGGATAAAAAGACAGAATCTTCTTTAATATTCTACTCCCTAAATCAAAACCCATTAAAAAGGGTTCATAGGCCAGATTCCAGTCAAATCTTAACCACTACAGTTCTCTATGCTTCAGTAATGGAAGAGTTTCTATGACATTTATTAGTATATTCTGTTTACTGTGCACCAGAAATCTGTTAGAATGGACACTTTCAATTTGTGATTAGTACATTAATATTATACATTCCCATATTCTCCAGCTCTTATAACTAATGCTCATGAAAAATGAAGGAATTGTAGGCCAACACATTTGGAGAGCACCAAGCTGACAACACAATATACTAAATTGTAGATCCTTCTCAACAATACTTTTACTCTGTAATCACCTTGCATTGTTCATGGAATGGGAAGAAATGTGTTCCACACATCTTTCAATGGAAATAAACACAGGTTTATCCAATACAACTTTCATAATATTTATTACTATAGAAAATCAATTCAGGAGGAAAACAAAGAGGAGCTGCAGGAGCTTGTATTTTGTTTCTAGCTTGAGAAGCATCTATAAGAAGAGTCAATTTAGAAGTACCCTATGTCATGATTTATCTAGATGAAAAGATCAATATTACCTTCACCAGCAAGCTCCAAAATAATGGAATATCAGCTAATGTAGAACTTAACCAGAATATCTCTTCAAAGGGTAATCAGTACAATATACAAATATGAATACAATTCTGCATTAAATAAAAATAGCTTGATATTCATAAACAACCAAACAAAGAAAAATTACTACAATAAGACAGTCTTGGTCTTCCCTCTTACATCCTCCATCTCTTTCTAAAAAGTGCTAGCCTGATAGCTCTGATACCACAGAGGGCAAAGGGTCATAGGGGAGCTGAAACTGTTTACTGTACAGTAGTTTTCCTAGAATTCCAATGTATGGAGGCTAGTTACCTACATTCAGAAGGCTTTGTTTAGATACTATAAAATGAATAAATTAGAAACTAATTTCATATTCTTTTATTAGTGCAAAGGTTGCCAGGTACTAACTCTACAGATTGATTACATTAAGCATGTGTCATTGGATCAGGGTATATACAAAAGAAGAACAGAGTAAATGTTATACTATCTACAGGACTGCTGTTGAAAATAACATCCTTATGGCAGATACTCCTTCTCACCATAGCATTTGGGAACATTCAGTGTACGACTCAGTATCATTACACAGCATGTTTTCCAATTCCTACAGCACCACCATGTAAATATGGTTTGCCACAACGTGAGCATACTGAAATGATTACAAGGGGGACAACTTTCCAAAGGGATTCAGTTTTGATACCCTATCTAATAATGGGTATTAGAATCCTTTCAGCAGATCATTTCTGCACATATGGATCTCCTTCAGAAACAGAAAGCACTACTTTAAATAAATATAAATTACTTTCTGTCTGTCCTTGCTATGAAGAGTGAAACACCATTATGTAATTGGTGGAGCAGCTGCTATAACCATTCTAGCCTCCTTGTCGAAAAGATTAGGAAGCTAGAAAAGGGCAAATAACAACAACACAAAGATACAAATCTAATTGTCAACCATTTCTCCTAGGTAAATATGTATAGGATTATCATCTCAAATTATTAAATGTTTTGTGCATTATAAAAAGAAAATCTTTAAAAAAAAAACCAGGAAGGATGACCAAGGAGGAAAATGAAATGAATACTTGTAAAGCAGGCTTTTTCCCCTTCTGCAATAATCTTAAAACTATAGAAGCTACATTTAATGACGTTGATCAGCATTAAATCCAGGTCTTTCTTCATACGATGGACGGTTTTACATACAATGGACAGTTACACTAAGACACGGTTTATGAAGTGGTTGGCTTTATACATCATACTGAGCCAAAGCTAAACAAACAACAATATTACTTAACACAATATTACTTACCACAATGTGAGAACCTAATAACATAATTAACAAGTAGAATGCCAAGATATGAAAATATCTAATGGCTTTTAAAATGAATTAAACCAATCTTCCCCAACATATCCTCCCTGATTATCCCTAGTCAGTCCATTACATTGCTGGGGATAAAAGAAATATCAAGATGACACTAAGAGATTAGGAAAGGCTGGATTAGATCAAACTAGAAAGTAATGTTCAAATACATACTCCTTTTTACAATGAGGTAGAGATGGCTATTGTTTCACTGTCTGCTTATGAACCAACAGGCATTGATCATGAGTGTCCACAGATGGGACAAATGACAAAATGTGACCATGTTTTTACACAAAACCTGCAATTTATTTCATAATTATAGTTTGCCATGGACACCACTGGCAGCTGTAACTAAAAGCAGAATGTGAAGCTTAGACAGAATTTCTTCTTATCCAGCAAGGGAATCACAATGTTTTGGTTTTCATTTTTATTAAGATCAAATTCATTGATAACATAAGCCAGCTAAGAACCATTATTTTTTCAGTCTTTGGGTCAATTGAAAACTTAAATGCATTTAAGTCACTACTATAATATATATTGAAACTGCAAATTAGCCAGTAAGATCACACTTCAAGATAAAAACAGGAAAGGACAGCAGTACTAATCCAGATTCCATTCCTTCCGCCCTCCTCCTCCTCCACCTTCATAATCTGTAGTAATTCTCCATACACAAGGCAAAATAAACTATCTGTCTAGGCATGTAGGCTGTTTCTCACCACCTCCAATAAAAACATCTTGATCACAGCGTTAGTACAAATGTTATGTATGCATTTGAATTACACTAAATAGTTTTCCAGAATGAAACTGTATTTGGGTTAACTAAAGTAGCAAAGGAACTGTAAATTCATAGGTAAGTCATATGTGATATATGCAAGTTTTCAAGTGAGTTGTCACAGTACTTTACAAATTGCTTGAAGTACATGTGATTTACTCAGTTTTTCTAAATCCTAGAATATACCAAACATATCATTATCAGTTATTTGTGACCCCTAAACAAAAGGTGAAGACTCTGAAAACAAGGAACCTCAGTTATTTTCCTCTCTACCAAATAAGGAGCTTTGTGCAAACATTATACATATGTATTATATCTTAGTGCCATATAGAAAAGTTCTGTGTTTTTTCCACCAATTGGCCTTCAATTTGATCAAAGGGAATTTACCACCGACATTTCTTTTAAAAGAGGAGATGGTTGGTGGAAGCTGGTGGAAACAGCAATCTTTGCTACCTCAAACAACAAAGTAAACTCAGAGGGAGAAAATCAAAATAAACCCTCAGGTATCCTGAGAATTGGGTAGAAAAAAATCCCAGAAACCTCTTTTAAAAGGAAGAATTTTTTTAAGAAATCATAAGGCAGATTTTGAAACAGCTTGAGGATATCTTGTGCCCAGTATCATTACTGGGGCTATGCTAATCCTCAAAGATGCATCTGGCACTTACTGAAGACACAAGATTTCCAATAAAGTGAAGCAGCACATTTCAATTCTTAGATTGGAGGTGTCGAGGTAACACGTCTTGTTTTTTCAAGTTGAGGCAGGCCTCAAATCAAATTGTTACTTCAGTAAAGCTCCGAGCAGGTCTACAAAACAAGACTGCTTTGCATAGGCCTAATCATTGTTTGGAAGTAGGTACTGATTTATCCTTTGGTATTAATTTAATCAATGGTCTGTGTCAGGTTTCGCTATGCAGAACATGGAACAAACAACTTTCGAACCTAAATGCAACAAGGAGTTTCCATAGGCCAGAGTATGGGAACCAGTAGTTCTTTCTAAGACAGTGCTGAAGGGCTTTCAGTTTGGCACACTTTTCTGAAAGACTTGTGATATGACAGCTCACCAACAACTGTTTCACTACTGTGATATCACATACCATATCAAGCTATAAAAAATACAGGCCAATGGCTGAGTTCACTTGTCACACCAGACTAAATATTTATCTGGCTTATGTTTTAATGGTCTGGGCATTATGGCCTAGTAAACAAACAATAATGAAAGGAAATCACTGTTTAGCACAACATACAAAGTTTCTTCCAGGTAAACATCATACAATTGCTGTTTTAGCGTACTTTCACAAGACAGAATAAGTTTCATAAATTATGCTAAACTGTAGATGCCACTGTGGTCAAGTTCACTACAGCACAAACTTCAGTGGCTGCATTCACAGAACAGTGGAAACTGAACCTAAACTAACCACATTAGTGGTTACTGAGATGTGTAAACCAAGCCACCATCAATGGAAGTTCTTTTAAACTAAATAACTTGTATGAGTAGGCAGGGTGCTACACTAAATAGATTGCTGATCTAATTCATCACGGATTTTTCTTCTTAAACATTCGTTTTTTACAAGAGCAGGTCTCGGAGTTTGAGACGAACAAACGGACAAGACTTCATCAGTTACGGGGAGATGTAATTTGCAACCAGTGAACACTCTCAATTTGAGCCGCCACTGCAGGTAACTGCATCTGCATTTGTAAAAAAATAACCTTAGCGGCAGCGCTACGCAAATCTACGTGCCCAGACTTTAATGTCACACCAATAAGTACGATGCAATTTTAATTCTTCCAGGGAATGTTACACAAGCTGCATTATTCAAGAACTCAGAAAGGCACCCTTAGAGGTAAACGGGACTCTTACGGAGAAAAAAATTAAGCAACAATTGCCCTTTGAGAGGAGCTTGCAGAAGCGGAGGTAGCAATGACCAAGCCACCCTCCCCTCTCGGTTTGAGAACAATCTTCTAGCAGGACCCGAGCTGCCTGCCTGCTTTCCGCCCCCTGCCAAGATTTGGCTCCTCCGGAGCTTATCGGGCGAAAAAAACCCGCGCCTGCAGACCGCCGGACGGTGCGGCTAGTCCTCCGAGACAGACACCTAACCAGCGGCTGTTCCAGGAACCCTCCCTCAGCCCCAGAGATGGCTTAGGGCGGCCCCGCCGCCTTCTCAGCCCCCGTCCCATCCGCAGCGGCGGGAGGGAGGC